AGTAGCATCCTTCTCAAGTTTTCCTTCAAGCCCGTTTAGGCCCACGGTTCTAGGGATAGCCTGTTCATAGCCCAATTGCCTCGATACCATGGAAGGAGCATAACAAGTATACCTAGTTGCTCCTATTAGAGAAACCCAAGGTCGTGCTCCATAGTAAGTTACGTATGCCCTTCGATTTATCCAAGCTGTCTTCCACAAAATGCCCCTAGTCGACAAGCTCAAAAATGATGAAAACCACTCTCGTTCGGACTTGTTTTTTCATTTTTCGACCAAGAACTCTTTCAATGGTTCTTGATTAGTCCACTAGCATGTCTTGAAAATCGATTTATGGGCTTCGAAATGGCTAATTACCTATACAAAAAGCGATTCGAACATAACATTTCATACTTCCTTTCCCATACCTCATGCAGGTGACTCAATGAGGAGAAGGTTTCGACTAGAATGGCGACAGTAGGATTTATGGAGTGTTTCTCTACTTCGATGAAGACATTGGCCGCATCTAGACTAATTAAGCTGGTTGTTGAGGGAAAAAGCACTAACCCAAAGATCATAGGTGCTAGAATCTTGATCCATTTAGAGGTAGCCCTTCGATTCATCCAAGCTGTCTTCCATAGAAAGCCCCCAATCGACAAGTTCAAAAACAATAAAAACCACTCTCGTTCGGACTTGTTTTTCCATTTGTCGACCAAGAACTCTTTCAATGGTTCTTGATTAGTCCATCAACATGTCTTGAAAACCGATTTATGGGATTCAAAATGGCTAATTACCCATACAAAAAGCGAGTTGAACATAATATTTCATACTCTCTTTCTCAAACCTCCTACAGGTGACTCGGTGAGGAGAAGGTTTCGACTAGAATGGCAACGAGTAGGATTTATCGAGTGTTTCTCCACCTCAATGAAGACATTGGTCGCATCTAGATCGATTAAATTGGTCGTTGAAGGAAAAAACATTAACCCAAAGATCATAAATGCTAGAATCTTGATCCGTTTAGAGTTAGCTCTTGGGTCATTTAGTTTTTGCTTGAACACATCCAACCGAGCTTTCAAAGTGCCATGCTTATGTCTAGCCAATCCTCCACCCTTTTTTCAGCATTTGATCTTCTTTGATACAAATATACCCGATGTAGAGTGCTCGGTATGTTTAGAAGTCGATGATACTCCTCCGAGGTTGGGGTCGTGTCTAGCCCCCTTATGGTGAAACATCCGTATAAAAGGTCTCATAGACGAGCCAAGGCCTCGAGAGCGAGCTTCGAACCGGCACCTCTAGTAACATTGCAAGATTGCCATATTTAGCTAGAAACCTATACTCGGTTATCGGGGCTCGGCATCTTCCAACAATCAAGCGGCTTTTGGGTGTCAATGATCACCGACTAGAAGTGTGTGATCTCTTTATGATTGCTATGAAATTCCAATCCTAGGCAATCTCTTTCGGTTTGTTATAAAATCTCGAATTTTTGTTAAATTCGACCACCAAGTGAGTTTGGATATGAGTTCTTTTGTCACCAATCTTGAAACATCACGACCAGATTGCTTGGTCAAAGGTTTTGACATATACGAGCTTACCTAGTGAATTTATACAGGAAAGGTGATCCTAGGGTTCGGTTCTAGCCATTACATGATTGGGTAAGATCTATTTAAGTCTCAAAGGGTCCCTTTTGACCCGGAAGAACCGAGGCCGACCAAGTGCGAAGCTAGTAATCGTGGAGGCCATCGAATACCTATCACGATAGTGGCATCTTTCCAAAAGAGTTGAGATTTTGTGAGTATTACCTAGGGCGAAACCCATGGGGACACCGAGTAATTCCTCCGTAGATCCTAAGGCGAATGCCAATGCCATAAAATTATACAATGTGGTGTGTGCATGGGCATTATTCCATATCCAATCTCAATAAAAATAAAAATAAAAATACAAGATACAAGCGAGAAAAAGAAGAAACAAAAAGAAAACATAAGAAGGAAAAACAAAAAACAAAAACAAAAAAGAATGAGTAAGTAAATCAATAAATCAATAGATAAAAATAAAATAAAAATAAAAAAATTCAAGGCGAACGATAAAACAAAGACATACTTTAGACACGATAGGCAAATCACGAAATAAGCATACATGCAAAAGAGAATAGGCCACATCATCGAAATCAAACTAAAAAATGCAAGCAAAGCCTAACCGTAAGTATTAGCCTTAAATGGAGTCACCATTCCGTCGCAGGGCGACGTCGGTGTTGAGGTGAATGTAAGAAAAATGATTGGAGTCGCCACCTAGTATTATGATTACTAAGAAACACAGTGACCGGTCCGTTTAGAGTTTCGAGTAAGGGGTTTATTACTTGTAGGGAAGATCAAAAGTCGCTCTATCCCGTCTTGCCTAAGGCAAGCTGCATCGCATGTAACATTGGTTCGATTTTTGATTTTTTTTTATGAAAATGCCCCTAGTTGTGTGATTCGAGACTCGATCGGTCATAAAACTCGTCCTCACTCTATAATGGATGGCTAGAAATGATGGCCAAATGGATAAAACCAAATAAAAAAAACGGTAAAAGTTGACAACTTAAGTAAGAACGAGGCAAAAATCGACAATTTAAGCAAAAATAGGTAAAATCGGCAACTTAAGCAAAAACTAGCAAAAATCGGCAACTTAGGCAAAAATAGGCAAAAATCGACAACCTAGGCAAAAATAGGCTAAAATCAACAACTTAGGAAAAAACTAACGTAAATCGACAACTTGGGCAAAAATAGGTAAAAATCGACAAACTATGCAAAAATAGGCTAAAATCGACAACTTAGGCAAAAACAAACAAAAATCGGCAACTTAGGCAAAAATTGATAACTTTGGCAAAAATAGGCTAAAATCGACGAGTGAAATAAAAAATTGACGACTTTAGGCAAAAGTAGGTCGAAATCGACAACGGAATCAAAAATCGATGGCTTTAGGCGAAGTGGGTTAAAAGCGACAACGAAATCAAAATTCGACGACTTTGGCTAAAATAGGCCTAAAATCGACAACAAAAGTAAAAAGTGATGGCTTTGGCAAAAATGGACAAAAATCGACAACGAAAAACAAAAAGTGGCGGCTTTGGCTAAAATAGTTTAAAATCGATAGCGAAAAGTAAAGAGTGTCGGCTTTGGCTAAAATAGGCTTAAATTGGCAAAAAGAGCACACATAGGCAAAATTTAATGAGAACCGACAATAGGACAAGAGTCGGAGAAAACGCAAAAAAATTGATGAAATTAATTAATTTAGCATGCCTAACAACAAGCGGAGTTATATGGCAACATTTCGAACTTTCATGACTCGATATTTTTTTATAAAAGTTATCATACAAGACACGCTTTTGAAATATGTATTTGAGTATCAACAAATATCCACACGTTCAAACCAAAGCATATTCATCATCATATCGGAAAATCAAAAATACACGTCATCGCAATTCAAATAGAATATACACGAATAAACGAGATAAAATTACATCACATTCATTCGATTAATTACATGACATATATCAACATGAAGCAAATTTAGTACATGTTAAAAGAAATAATAAAATAAAATAAAACAAAATAAAGCAAAAAAGTGAAAGAAAAAAATTATTGTAAAGAAGAAAAAGAGACGGCTGATTTGCTTGATGCTCTCGAGGTCGAATATGACCTTTTTGACCCCGATGGAGACTAATGCTTAGTCGACCGGGGAGGAAAGGTGACTTGTTGTTGGAGGCGCACGTTGGTGTAGGCCGCACGTTAGAGTAGGTTACGCGTTGGGTCGGCGTTGGGGAGGCGGGTAGGCACGCGAGTGCGCGCGGGGCTTGTTGCTAGTGGAATCGTTGGCGCGCTAGGGAGCCGGAGGCTCCGGCGTGCGGGGAAGCCCGGCCGGCGCGCGTTGGAGACGTGCGTGTTGGGGGAAGCGCGGGAGCGAGGCACGGTGAGTGGAGGCTTGGGTTGGCGAGCGCGGTGGGCGGGTAGGCGGTGGGAGGCGGGCACTACAAATGCCGCGACAAGCGAGCGCGCGACCTGGTCCGATGAAGGCTGCCGGCGCGTGAGGCGGTGGGGTGGTTGTGGGCGATGGAGCGAGAGGGTGGCGGGCGTTTTGGATGGGCGGCGTGATGGGATTAGGCGGCTAGGGTTTCTCTTGAAAGGGGTGAACGAGTAGTCGCCCCTTTGTGAGAGAAAAATGGGGCTTTTATGCTAGATTTTTAAGGTTTTTTGGCTAAAAATCTTTTTGGTCATTTGTTTTACAATCCAACTTTATTTTGCTTCTTTTCTTCTTCAATTGCACCCCCATATATATATATATATATATATATATATACACACACACACTTCATTTTCCTTTTTTTCTTTTTTTTTTTGAAATCCAAAACTAGGTGCTAACACCAAGCATGCCAATATATTTTTGGATTTACTCACATTCTTTTTTTTAGATCAAGAATATATATATATATACCATTAAAAATATGAAAGTAAAATTTTTCTCACTAAATATTTTCATGATTTTTTTTTCCCGAGAAAGCAAGATTTGAAAATTAAAATTGATCTACAAAATTTATTTATCTTTCACCACAGATCAAGCTCATAATATTTTATTCAAAATCTTGATGATTATATCTTTCATCCTGCTTCAGCCCACAAATTATTATTATTATTATTTTTTTCAAATGTAGTATTTTTATTCAAAAAGGAATCTTGACGTTAATTCTCAACGGAACCGTTAATGGAAAGGGACTACATTAAGAATTGAAGTGATTTAAGAGATAAAATTTGGGATAGTTTTTATGTAGGGGTGCATTGTAAATCCCCTAAAGTCCAGGGCTTCTCTTTTACATTTATCCAAACTAAAATATAAAAGTGCGTCTCTGAATTTCAGTCTCTTCTCGTCTACTCAGTGAGTTGTTTATTGCACTCAAATTGCCTTTGAAATATATTTGTCTTTTTCATATATAATATATAATAATTTCAACCGAATGAAAATCAAATCAAGAAGGAAGAAGAAGTGAAATAAAAATAAACATGAGTAGAAAGGAGTTTCGATTCTTCTTGTCCTGCGACATCAATCTCCCTGTCACTTTTCGAGTCGATAGACTCGAAGGACCTCTGCCTTCTCCAACAAAATCTCCCAATTCAGGTAACGAATCCTTTCTTTATTCATATTTACCAGTTTATCTATCTATATCGAACTTTGATAATCGAGGGAATTGGTTTCGCAAGCACAAATTATTTATCAATCTATCTGTATTGAACTTTGATAATTGAGTGAATTGATTCGCAAGCAGGAATTGATTCCATCATCACAGAAGAGAGAAAAGCAGAGCTATACGTTGAGTGTGCTTTGTACATTGATGGCGCTCCATTCGGCCTTCCCATCAGAACTAGGTTTTTCTTTTCTTTTCTTTCTTCCTTTGATTTTTGTTGGCTTTTCGATTGTCCATTTTAGCTTCTTCTTCTCTCTTTTTTTTTTAATTTATTTTTTGTGGTTCGGTGCTAGACTGGAAGCTGGTGGAGCATCATATTGCTGGAATGAGCTGATCACCATGAGCACCAAATATCGAGACTTAACTGCCCATTCACAGCTTGCTTTTACGGTATTTTACTTCTTACGAATTCTTTTTAGAAAAATATTTTCTGTGATGTGATGTCATTATCCGGTGTAATGTAGTCTCTTATATTATGTAGTTCATTCAAAACAGGGCATCAAATATCCTTAAAGATGACAAAACTATCAATGTTTTAAGATTTCCATACAAGTTGCTCTTTTCTGCGTGGTTAATGCTGGAAGTAATCCTTCATGAAAGCAAATTATGATCCCTTTCGTTTGCTTAAATTTTCCGATACCGGTTTTCCTACAAGTTTTTCTTACACTTGACCGTGTCGTGCCTTGTTTAGCTATTACTGATGTGTGTTTATAACTGCCGTCCTTTACAGTCGCTAAAATTGAATTAGCTTGTGTTGATATGTCGACAAACTTCTGTTGACCTCTCTTGTTTTGCTTACTATTGTTGATTTGCAATTGGGAGCTTATACCATGCATGCATAGGAGAGAATTCCCTTTTGGGGTTAATGTTTGGGCATTTTGCCACTTCACCTGACATTTTAAGGACCTTTGCTTTTATTCATTGCTCAATGCTCAATCTGCATGCCCATTTAGGTTTGGGATGTTTCGTGTGGGAAAGATGAGGGATTGATTGGAGGAGCAACCATTCTTCTTTTCAACAATAAGATGCAACTCAAAACTGGGAAGCAAAAGCTTAGGCTTTGGCCAGGGAAGGAAGCTGATGGATCATTTCCGACAACTACTCCTGGAAAGGTTCCTGATATCACTTTATTTTGCAATATGCATCTAATATATATCCTGCCACATTTGCTAATCAGTATACTGTGGTTGTAGGTTCCCAAGCATGAGCATGGGGAGTTGGAGCGTTTAGAGAAGCTTGTGAATAAATATGAGAGAGGACAAATTAAATGTGTTGATTGGCTTGACCGTCTCACTTTCAAAGCTATGGAGAAAATCAAGGAACAGGAAAATTGTAAAAATGGAAATTCTTCCTTATACTTGGTTGTTGATTTCTGCAGTCTTGAACATCGAGTTGTTTTTCAGGTATGATCCATATGCAATCATCAAGTTGCTTTTGTAATAACTTTTTTCTGAATCTGCTTCAGTACAAATGCAGTAATAATGTTTATAAATTGTAGAAATCTTATTTCCTCTCTTGATTTCTATTTTTGTTTTTAACACTGGATATCAATATTCAGTTATTCACTAATTAAAATTGGATATGACAATCTTACTTGACACATTCTTTTCTTGATTGGGAAGATTTAAACTCAGGACCTGTGGCCTGGTCGTGGATACCATAATGAGCATGAGAACTTGATAGCTATTCCTCTCATACTCACAATGTAATAAATTTATAAGTCCAATAAATACAGACAGCTCTACATAGCTTTAATAAGAATTACTATCGGTGAAAGGATGACTTGGTGTTATTGAATCAAGACATCCTGATAATTGTAGCTATCATGCTTCATTTTGCTACAAGAATTGAATTCCCATGTTAAAATTTGTTATTATCTTTCTTTTTTGTCTTCTTTTAATTATGCTGGCCTTGGGCTCATTTTAGATACCCAACTTTTCCTGGATGACATCTTGAACCAATGAAATTACATTTTAGGTCACTCAAGCATGAGAGGCAATGGAAGTGGACAATATTGCACTTGTCCAAATTCCCATACATATTTTAATCCCTTTTGTTTGACTTGTAGGAGTCAGGAGCAAATTTCCTATTACCATCTCCTATAGCTTCAACGAATGAACTTGTTACTGTGTGGGATCCAGAAATTGGAAAGATAAATCCCTCTGAGCACAAGCAACTGAAACTGGCAAGAAGTCTGACGCGAGGTATCATTGACAGGGATCTGAAGCCAAGCTCTAATGAACGAAAGTAAGAGTAAACCCTTTTCATAAGAGACATTTTCTTACAAAAATAAACCCCCATTAGAAATTTGAAGTTTTCTATGTATAAAGATATTCTCGTGGGAGCTTTTGTAAAATAGAGCAGCTGTGTCTAATATTCATTTACACTGGGCAATTGATAACTGTCAAATGTGACTTTATCATCTCTTTCATGGTTTGATTATGTCATTTCAGCTCTATTTTTGTTGCAGTATTTTTTTAACTAATTTATTGAGTGGTGTTATTGCGCATGAGTTGAGGTATATTATTTGCCTACTTGTTTTTAAGGTCAATTCAAAGGATTCTGAAGTACCCACCGACAAGGATTTTGAGCGGAGATGAGAGACAGCTTCTGTGGAAATTTCGCTTCTCATTGATGTCAGAGAAGAGGGCTCTTACGAAGTTCCTAAGATGCGTTGAATGGAGTGATGTTCAGGTCAGTATTCAATTATTTTCCCTTTGAAGTTTTATTCTTCTGTAATTTGCTGCATCGGCCATATAACTGAAACATTGATTTATCTTTCTCTTATTTCTCTAGTTCTTTTTCTCCTTCCAATATTTCATGAATTTTTGGATCTCCACCTTGTGAGAATCATGATGTTTGTCATCGGGGGAAGGTAGGACTTTTTTTCTGCTAGCTATTGGTTGCATTTCCACCTTATGAGAATCATGGTGGTTTTGTCATTCGGGGAAGGTAGGTGTGAACTTTTGTTGCTAGCTATTGGTTGCATCACATGGTGTGTTAATAAATATTGTCTCCTTGATTATGTAAGCATTTTCTGATTTTTATAATACACATTTAGCATATGTTTTTATCACCTCTCTTCACATACTTTTACTACCTTGTTTTTCTTGTGTTATCACTAACCAAAATATAGATAATTTCTGAAGGTTTTTATGCTGATGCATCTACAGGAAGCAAAGCAGGCATTAGAATTGATGAATAGGTGGGAAATGATTGATGTATGTGATGCATTGGAGCTTCTATCCCCTGTATTTGAAAGTGAAGAGGTGGGTGTGCAAGAATGAGCTGGACTTGCTCGCACCATTCTTTGACTTGTCAGAAGTCCTGCCCTTTTTTTCCTCCTTTTTGTTTGGGAGAGCTGTCTTATGAATTAATATTATTCCAAGGTCCAAACTATCTAAGTTTTTTTCTCCCAAGATCTTAGGTGGACAATGCCTGGGATAATGATTTCTAAAGCATTCATAATGATGCAAAGAATATTTTCAAAAGATAAAGAGAAAATTGCTCTTAAGTTATCATTTAGTCTAAAGGTCTGAATGCTGATGCATAATATCTTCAAGAAGAAAAATGTTTATAAATTGGAGAGATTTACACATCTATTCCAGAGTGAATGATGCCTGATTGTAAATCTTCTTAACAGGTTCGTGCATATGCTGTCAGTGTTCTTGAAAGAGCTGATGATGAAGAGCTTCAGTGTTACCTACTTCAACTGGTTCAGGCCCTTAGATTTGAGCGCTCTGATAAATCTCGGCTTTCTCAATTCCTCGTAAAACGCTGTATGCTATCTATTCTTTAAAGTGTTATAGAATGTCTATGTGTGCGTGCAGGTCATTGTGTCTATCTATCCATCTCTCTCTCTCTCTCTCTCTCTCTCTCTATATATATATATATATATATATATATATATTATGGAGTTAGCTTCTTATTGCATCTGAGGATATTATTGTATTTGACAGCATTAAACAATATCGAGTTGGCTAGCTTTCTTCGTTGGTATGTTGCTGTGGAACTTTATGATCCTGCATATGCAAAACGGTTTTATTCTACTTATGAGATGCTGGAGGAGAATATGGTGAAGGTCTGCATCATTAAATTTCGGTCGCTTATCATCTCTGTGCTCTATTTTCCTAAAAATTAGTTCTTTTGATCCTTTGAGAGGTGATGTAAAGTCTCATGTCCATTTAAATTATATCAATTGCAGCTTATGCGAATATTTCAGGATTTAAATCTGTTTTCAGTTTAAACTTCTAACAATGCTATAATATAACTTCTGCCCTCAAAGATTAGAAAAAAGCACCAAATTAGTTTGGCTATTTGCACTTAGTGGCATGCTTTTGTACTTGAGTGCAATGTAGTTTCTGTGTCAGCAAAAGCCTTTGTTCCATTTGTTTGGTGATAATACGGTAAAAGATAAAGAGCACCTAAGAAAGGGTTTGATAAGTTTATCATTCCCCTTTATCGGCCAGCTGATGTTGTTAATCCCCTTCTAACAAAGTACCATGCATGACAACTAAGTGCAAAAGGTTAACCCTTGTTGTGGAAGTGCGTAGTGCTTGATCAAAATCATATGGTGCTTTGTTGCATTTGACCCAGAGATTATTATGTCTTAAACATTTCAATATCTTAATTTCAGTTTTTCTTCATCTAAAATTGCGGAATATACATGCATATTCCTCCACATGTGAAAGAGGGGTAGAAGTAGCAAATATCCTTATCTTCATTTCTGTTTTATCTATGCAACCTCCATGCGTAAAAGAGAACTAGAAGGAGCAAAACATCATTTCATACTCTGTATAAGGTTGGGATTCTAATATATAAAAGCTGAGAAGACAATAGGTGAATCCATAGTTTACTCAGAAACTTCCAAAATGTAATTTTTATTGCATGGAACATGTTTCTTTTATGATGAGATGAAAGCAACTTGATATCAAAATGGTGCTACGCTATTATAATCGGCCGTGTTTAGCTTTTAAATAAGGCTAAATGGTCTAAACCTTCGGTCAACTTTAAATCATTTGAGAATCAATCCCTCAACTTCTAATTTTGGTTTGGACCTCCCTCCAACTATTTTTCATTTGAAATTGGGTCTTTTTGTTAAGTTTTCATCAATTTTAACCGTAGAAATACACTTGAATTGCATGTAGTTGACTTTTTAACTTCCTCAACAACAAAAAAAGTACCAAAACTCATGGATGCTTTGCTTTTCCCTCCAAAACTTGTTTCTTTTCTTTTAAAGTGTTCTTTAATTGCTTACGAGGAATTGCATGAAAACCTAACTGAAAGACCCAATTTCATATGAAAAATAGTTGGAGTGAGATCCAATCCGAAATTGGAAGTTGAATGACCGGTTCTCAAATGACTTAAAGTTCAAGAGAGATTTGGACCATTTAGCCTTTAAGTAGATGCCTTTCCTCTCTATGGAATATAGATTGTGAAGTTTTTTATGCAGTTGAGTAACTGCATCCTCTTCATAACAGTTGGCAGCTGGTCCAAGTGGAGAAGAAGATGGATTTAAGTTGTGGCAGAGTTTGGTGCGCCAGACAGAATTGACAGCCCAGTTATGTTCCATAACGAAAGATGTAAGAAATGTGCGAGGCAATACTCAGAAGAAAATTGAAAAGCTTAGACAACTTCTGTCAGGTCTTCTTAGTGAACTTACCTATTTTGAAGAGGTATTTCAACAACCAGAGGTTCTTTTTCCATTGATGGTTCATTTTATAAGCTCTCATGCAGCATGCTTGCAATTTCATTATTCTATTCTACCTAAATTATCATCGATGACTGCTAAAACTTTGTAAATTGTCAAATATTGTGTTGGTTTTCAGCCAATAAGATCACCACTTGCTCCAGGTATCCTTATCACCGGGATTGTGCCATCAGAATCCACAATATTCAAAAGTGCACTGCATCCTCTGCGCCTGACATTTCGAACACAAAGTGGGGGGAATTGCAAGGTCATATTTAAGAAGGGGGATGATCTTCGGCAAGACCAATTGGTAAATGGTTGACAGTTCCTATGAAATCATAATTGGGCCTGCACAAAAAAATAAAAAATAAATAATTAAAATAAAATAAAATCTTCTAATGTACCTTTCCTTCTCTCTCTCTCTCTCTCTCACACACACACACTCACACACACACACACCCTGACACAAAAAGAGATGCAAGGTTGCTGCATACTAAGTAGGAGTATGGTGGGTGGGATGTTTGAGATTGATGGTCTGAGATCTTGACATTTGTGATATATTGATATATGTTTTTGTAGGTTGTCCAAATGGTATCTCTAATGGACCGACTGCTTAAGTTGGAAAATCTTGATCTGCACTTAACTCCATATAAGGTGCTTGCTACTGGACAAGATGAAGGCATGCTAGAATTCATACCATCACGTTCCTTGACTCAGGTATTTCATCCTCTGAAACTTGATTCTTTGAAGGGGGAAGCCCAATTACCTATGCATATCTACTATATATTGAAGTTATTGCATTGAAACTCAATGGATATGTGTCCATTCCTTTGTCTTGATATTTATACTTCAGTCTCTTCCTTTTGAAATGCTCAAAGGTTATTACAAGAAATTTTGTTCTAAAATTTGCAAGTTTCAGTAAAAGATTTTACATGGAACTAGAAGACAATGTTTTCAAAGACTAGTTGAAAATATAAAATTATTGCAGTCCGTAAATTTTGCATAAAGTAAATTCGTTGCAATCTTTGAACCTGGCCTTTCAAATGACTTCCTTCATGACCATCAAGTCACATTGCTCTGTGACATGCTATGATAATGGAAAGTTTCTTGTGGAAAATAGTGAAGATCTTCTCTATGATCTTGGAACATAGAGGGAAATAAAGGGAGCAAAAATGCCTTACTATACCTGAAAGATGGTTTAGAAACAGGTTCATTGGTTATCATGGCCCTTTCCATGCTATTTGAGAATCAAAAGGGACGTCAATTATATATTCTCCATTGTGGATTAGTTGTCAAATTGAGTTCATGCTGATTTACTGAAGAAATTGATGTTACTTGCTTGCAACACATATGATGTTGTGATTGGTTGCTGAAATTCATATATTCCAAATCCAGATTCTCCAAGAGCATCGTAGCATTATAAACTATTTGCAGAAGTTTCATCCTGATGAACATGGACCATTTGGGATCACAGCCTCCTGTCTTGAGACGTTTATAAAAAGTTGTGCTGGCTACTCTGTAATCACATATATATTGGGCGTTGGAGACAGGTAATTATTTAGTCATGCACATTAAAAATGTCCATGCATGCACCTTGCCAATTATATTAGCAATTCATCTTTCTTTTCATGCTAGAGCCCCAGAAACAATAGGTTACTATGTAGGTCTTGAAATGTGAAAATGCTACTGGCTTGGTGTTGGTTCTCCTTGGTGTTTTGAATAGGAGCATGATCTAATTCCCAGGCTATGGAAAAGTTCACGTGAATTAAAAATTTCTTTAGATGGTTTTGTGTTTGTTGTACTTGGAAGTAGCTTACATGCTATGATTCATGATCCAGTTGGAACTGTGGAGTTTAAGGACCTAGAGTAATTTAGCAGTGGCTCATCTGATTGCCATAGATAGAGCATCTTCCCATTATTCCATCCCCACAAGGCCCCCTAAAGGTTCATTTACCTTTTGCTTGTGTAACAATGGAGTTTTGGCTCTTCCCCTTTTGTGATGTTGATTTTCAACTCGGACTCAGGAATTTTATGCAAGTTGTCCCATTATGCCCTTTTATGACATTGATTTTCAGTGGACTCTGGAATTTTATGCAAGTTGTCCCATTATGCTTTATATATATATATATATATATATATATATATATATATCTGCTTTGTTGAGTGTCGGCTGTCAATCTCTAAAAGACCTTTGATCTTCACACAAGCATCTTAATTCCTCTACTTCCTAATGCTGCTGTATATTTAAAGTAAATATATTTATTAAGACTTCTACTTTTCTTGGTCTGCAGGCACCTAGACAACCTTCTCCTCACAGATGATGGGCGTCTTTTCCATGTTGATTTTGGTTTTATTCTTGGCCGAGATCCAAAGCATTTTCCACCACCAATGAAACTCTGCAAAGAAATGGTTGAGGCCATGGGGGGTGCAGAAAGGTGTTCTTTATTTTATTAACTCTTTCTTTTACATATTTATCTTTTCTTGTGCGACCATTTTATGTCCTTGCTGGATAAGTAGATTTATGACTCACTAGGACACAAATAGGTACCTTATCAAACTCCGCACAGAAACGATTGAGGCAATAGCTGGGATAGAAAGTTTCTTTTCTTTCTATTTTTATTCCTTAAAAAGATAGGTAGATTTAGACACAATTTAGGGATATCAATAAGTGACAGTGTTGCTCTAAATGCATGCAAGCAAATGTGTGAAAACACTTTTTATTTCTGTCTTGCAGCCCATACTATACCAGGTTCAAATCCTACTGCTGTGAAGCTTACAACATCCTCCGAAAGTCCAGTAACCTAATTTTGAATCTATTCCATCTGATGGCGGGTTCCAACATTCCTGACATAGCTTCGGATCCTGAAAAAGGCATTCTTAAGGTAACTTTCTTTATATTTCTAGTTTGGTGATTTTCCTACTTTGTCTTTTTTTATATGATTTAGACTATGGTGATGTTTACAGCTCCAGGAGAAGTTTCGATTGGACATGGATGATGAGGCCTGCATACATTTTTTCCAGGATCTTATAAATGAGAGTGTCAGTGCATTGTTCCCACAAATGGTTGAGACCATTCATCGGTGGGCTCAGTACTGGCGTTAGTGATGTAGAAACTGATTACTGTTTGTTCATGCCTTTGTAAATAGCCAGGTAGATGTTTGGGTTGTGCCTTGCCTTTTGTTTTCCATTTCCTGTTTTCTTTTGCTTGTTTTGATTGTTTTTTAAGAGCACATTTTGCTAAAGATGAACCCTACTCTGTGTCTCTGGCAAAAATTATGATTTAGGGTGGAGTTTAAATCATGAACTGGGCCTGCAACACTCTCTATCTCTCTGCAATTTGAATTGCTTATTGTATAAAACTGAGGCTACAATTGAAAGCTCATCAATGGTCTTCATACTCTGTTATTAATGTACATGTTAAATTCAAGAATAGAAAATTTTGGTTCACCAACAATGTTTTTGTGAAAATCATGATATTTGGTCACTTTAGTCAGTAAATTTGAAGCAGCTGTTTCGATTCTCACGTGAAATAATCTATAATTGTCATATTTGATGCAATTTTCCTCAAATCATTTTCATTTTATCTCTCATCTGGAACAGAGTGAATCTCTCATGATGTTGTGTGTGTTTTTGGTTTTTGGTGTGGAATTCTCCCCACAGTTTGAAACCAGCTGAAAGTGATGCCTGACAATTCAGTTAGCCAGAATGAATTTTTCATGGACCAGTTAGATGTTATGTGGTCTAATTGATTGGGCCTCCTGATAGTTTCCATAGCCTTGAATTCTGCACTACTCTCTCTGTGAGGTATTGACCCCCACCCGGGGGTGTTATTGACTGAATTGGTCTAAGAAATTTGGTATTTGTGATGTGCAGGGGAAAAGAATAGAGATAGGGTTGCATGATTGTGATGTTTTTACATTTTATTGGAACAATGGAAGCTCTGAAATTTTATTTTCCTTTCTTTTCTTTAAACATGCTGCTATAAGTTTCTTTTGTTTTCAGATTGGAAGTCAGTGTCAAGGATGGAAAACAACTTTTGAGCAGTTAAAAGTATGATCTAGTTGGCTGGATGGAAGAATAACCGTGTATATAAATTGGCTGCGAGAGATCAAGCATATTCACATGGCCATGTTGTCCTTGTGAATCACATTACAGCATACAAGGAATACAAATTTCTAAAGAAAACTTCTAGGTCTGTAATCTGTTGATAACTGTAGGACAGTTTCTCCATTCATTGTACAATTGAACTTGACTTCTGAAGCCAAACCAATTTCTACGTTCTGTAGAGGCTTCACAACTAAGACCACAAGCAAATTTTTAATTTCTTTTTTTTTTTTTTTTTTTTTTACGAAGACCGCTAGCACTGCAGCCTCTATATATATATATATATATATATATATATATATATATATATATATTTGCATAGAAAATGGCTTTTTCTGAAAAGCTGTAAAAAATGGAGGGGGAAAAAAAATTCTTCCTTAATTTCTAGTTGTGATTGATCATTTAATTAGTTTTGTCGACTTCAACAAAATTCCAGTCAACTAAAGTCAGTGTGGAAAAACTATATAATAAATGCATTAACTTTGATTTTTTTTTTTCAATCGAGCACATTAATATTTATTTATTTTTCATTTCAGTATATCAATTTTTTAAAAAATATCAATCAATTTTTTCCATTCGATATCCCGTCTAGTGATGATGTGGCGAGTTAACGAGAGAAGATTAAAAAATTATATTATCTTCTTTTTTCCTCTTCTCAATTGTTATTATTGTTTACTTATTAATTAAAAAAATAAAGCAAAGTAAAGAAGAAACCAAAGCAACTACTTTGCTTTATTTTTTTAATTTATCTTTAAACAATAATAACAATTTGAAAGGAGAAAAAAGGCAATATAGTCATTTAGACCTCTTGGTTAACTGTCACTTCATCCGTAGATAGAAAATTAAAAAATTAAAATAAAAAACTTGATTGGTATTTAAAAAAAAAATTAATATATTGAAAAAAATAACATAAAAGTTGATGTACTCAATTGAGAAAAGATTCAAAGTTAATGTACTTTTTATGTAATTTTTCCTAATCAAAACAGACCTATATTATCATATTAACTATTTTTCTAACCTTGGTTTCTTAAAATTTTCCAAATCATATCATTGGAGTGATTTTATTTTGAGTTTAATCATTAATTAATTAATTAATATTTTAAAAAAGTTTCAAGATCTTACAACACGTCTGGTAAGACTTCAGAATTTTCTCTCAGTTTAAAAATAATTTCGGGAGGTCGGTTTGCAAACTTCTCAAATTTTGTGGTCGAATTTTTTTTAAAATTATAATCTCCGTCTGTGTAAATATAAAATTTTATAATTAACAATGTGTATCTAGCATTAGTGTCAAAACTATCAAGATAATTAAAATAACGAAACAATAAAAAAAAATGATAAAGTAAATAAATACAACAAAAGATAATAGAGTGTAGAAAACAATGGAATGGGAAAATTAATCAATTAACAAATTATTAACAATGATTTAAAAACGAAAATAAATAAGTATATTGGGAAAACTAAATGCTAGCTTGTATACAAGATATTGCATTTAAATAAAAGTACAGATCAGATGCCGACAATTATTCATGGTCAAAATATGCATGGATGACCGAGAGTAATAAATAGGGTTTACTTTATATTTGATTTATGTGCTTTTCCATTTTTTTTAAATAGAAATTCTCTATATATTTTTTTGATTTGATTGAAACTTTTTACTTTTTTTTTTTTTAATGCAAACCATCTGTTAATTGTTCATCCGACGTTGTAATAACCTATCCAAAAATAATATTTTAAAAAAACAAGCTAGGTATAAAAAACGGAACAACAATCTGTCTCTTCAATTTTCTTTTTACTTTCTCTTTCTCTTTCACACATTTCTCTTTAATTTTCTCCCATCTTCCTCTTCTAAATCCTAAGCTAAAACTTTATTAAATTAGCTTAGAAAGACCATAAACAAGTAGATTTAAGTGGAGTTTTGTTAGATTGAAGCTTGAAAAGCTTGAAGAATATGATTGAATTAGGGATCGAAGAACAAATTGTCAAAGGTATTAAATTCCATCATTTGGTCTTTAAATTGGAATGTATATATGTAGTTATTGATGATTTTAAAGTTAGGTTGCATTGGATTTGTTATTTGAATGAAGAACTAAGTTAGATTGATATTAGGGTTTTGAGACTCATTTGGAGAAAAATTGATTAAATGATTCTAATTGATTCAAAGTGTGGAGACTAAAGGAAATTCAATTGAGGGTGCAATTGAAAGGATTAAAACTCAAGCTTTTAATTGAAAGAAGGAAAGAGTATTATTGAGTAAAGAACCAAACATATCAACACTAAAATTAAAAATTAGGAAAACCAAGGACTAAAAATAGTGTTTGCCCAAAACACTAATTTTTTTCCTATAAATATCCAACCCTTTCAACCATTTAAAGCTGGACTTGGATCTTAAAAAAGCTAAAAAATCTAAAAAAAAGCATAAAATCCTAGCCAAATGGCTCCTAAGGAACCAAAAAACTCGAGTAATCAATCAAGTTACTTACCGGACTCGCCAAACTTTTTCTCTTCAATTGGCTATCCTTTGGTCAATTTTAATTCCAATCATCATCACCGATTGATAGTCAACACCCATATTCATTATTCCTAAGTAGTTGGAGAAGTAATAGACGTTGGATATGGTAGAAATCGGAGGTAGAACCACTACGACCGACCTACTTAGCAACTTAACCAAATCTTCCAAGAGATCAAAGGCTATAAAGTTTCAACCACACCTCTTCCTTATGATGATTCCGGTGTTGCTAAGGGATTTTAATGACACCAATCAACTCATGAGGTTGAGCGAAATGTGTTTATGGTGGTTGAGGGGGCCAATTTAGTCTTGATTGACTAATTTTTTGGGTTACATAAGGTAGGTTGGGAAATAGGTTGTCATCGATTAGTTCATTTTTCTATGGCTTTGGCTATGATTCCAAAGGAGAATTACACAATGATTGCCACCATCACCATTGAGTTTGTGATGACTTCCTCTATAACTCGGGGTGGTTCATGCATTGGAAGGGCCATCAAATAGTGATCGGGTAGTCGATATCGGTTGTTTCGTCTTCGAGGAGCATTTTGATAATTTTATGTGTAGGGGTATTTTGGTTATTTCATAACTAACTAGTGGCATTCCGAGTCACCATAAAGTAGCCTCATTGATACCTATAAATAGCTACTTCTTCCTTCTCGATTAACTAAAATAATTAATCGTTATCAAGATTGAAGGAAGTAAAGCCGATCTAAAGAAAGGACTTCTAACATTCTCACAATGTTAGGATAATTTACGAACTTATTTGAATTATTTAAAATAATGAATGGATGGTGAAAATGCTTGTGTTATGAATGATTATGTCTGTTAAATACTCTATCCGAATATGATTGAGATTTGTGTGCTCGTTGCTCGCTTGTCGAAACAAAGTTGTCGATGGCTTCCTACTTATATGGTCGAAGCTACCTAAAACTTTAGTTAATTTTTATGTGCTCGTATGTTTGTCATAATGAAGTTATCGATGACTTCTTATTTATATGGATGAAAGTGCTAGTGGCTTTTGAACTAATTTTATTTAATTTTTAACTATTGAAACGAGTTATCGGTGACTTCTCACTTATATGGACAAACTACCCGTGGCTTCCAAATCATTTTACCTACCTTTTTATTTTTCGAAATGAAGTTGTTGATGGCTTCCCATCTACGTGGATGAAGCTACTCGTGACTTCCAAATCAACTTGCCTACCTTTTTATTTATCTAAAATAAAATTATTGGTGGCTTTCCACTTATATGGACGAATTTGTTAGTGGCTTTCAAGCTAGTTACGTGCTCCTTGCTTGAGTGAAATGAAGTTATAGGTAGTTTTCCACTTATGTGATGAAGTTGTCGATAATTTTTTAAATCCATGACTCAAAGTTGTTGATGACTTTCTACTCGTGTGAGTGAGGTTATCGATGATTCACTCGCTCATGTTAATAAAAGACTATCAATCCTTAGAAACTCACTTACTTATTGGTATAAATCGTGTTCGCTAAAGATTAGTCTAAATTCTAATTTTCCTCACCTTTCCTTTTTGAGTATGGGTATTGGCCTCGGACCGACCTCTACCCCGAATTACTCTACTATTCTACCTTGATAAAATAAATTCACTCAAATAGACATAGAAACATAACATTGTAAAATCATATTTTTGTTTTCATATGCATTCAATACAACCTATCTTAAACGGGATGAGATGACGGTGATGTTATATCTTCTCCATACATAATCGACCCCTTATCTAGATATCTATGTAGATCAATTTATTTAAGGTTTTTCTAGTTCTCCCCGATTAGTTAGGGAGCGACTTGTTATTTCTCGTGCTCTCCCCCACAAGCCCACATCGACAAGGTCGGTGGTAAGAGAGGTGGCGATGGTGTTGGTGGTAGCTCAAATGAAAATGGCAATAGTGGGAAAGGAGATAATAATGAATGGGGTGAAATTAGTAAATATTATAGCCTTTAAGATAGTAGAAATAGAATTGGTTGGATTTGGTGGTAAAAGAGGTGGTAAGACTAGTGGTAAGAGATGAGTTGGTGGTAAGAGAAGTGGTAATGGTGTTCTTGAAATACTATTTATGTGCAAAAAGTAATATATTTATATTTATATTTAAACACAAATTATGTGTTGCAATACTTATGTATTGAGGATAAACGTTTACTAAATTAAGTTTAAAATTAAATTTTAATTTCATTTGCTTAACAAAAAAAGAAAGGAAGGAATAAAGCTAATATCGGTGGTGTTGGAGGTGTCAATCACTAACACAAGTACAGATGACTAATTTGAAATCAATACTAGTGTTATAACACATTGTTTTGATGGACATAACAACCTTTTTTGTTTTTTTACATAGCTAATTTTTTGTAGGCATATATAGTTTATAATACCCTTATTCATATATTATAACCTCACTTGTAGAATACATAAAAGTTTAAATATCGATTTTTGTTATTTTTGTAATTGCGGTGTAAGTAAACTCTAATAGGTTAAGAAACTAATTATGTTAATTATATATTACACTGCATGTTGGACAAGGTCAATTAATATCATTTAGCTTTCATGTTTAAATTCATATTTGTTTTATGCAGATTGGGTAAACACTAATAGCTTTATTTTACTACTTATTCACTATTAACGCCAATAGAAATGAATACATTAGTATTGCATATATTAGCTTAACTCGTTAAGAGATGATTGAAGCTTGTAACACAACCTTTCGGGTAGTGATTTTTTATCCATAGTCTCCTTAGTTCGTCTCGCATTTTGTAGATTTCATCCACAATAGGTTGGATATCAACTTTGTGCCTCGCATTGCTTTCTTGATCCACATTATACATAGGTTCACACCAATCGATGAATGAAAATGAATTCTCATAAAGCTAATCATCACACTTGTAGAATAATTTATTTTGCTTTTGTCGGTTTTTGAGATCCTAACAAAGGCACATTTATTGCATTTGTTGCACCTAATACTCTTGAATTTAATTCATGAAAACCTTGTTGATTAGTGATGTAAGAGGAAGAAATTTCTTTTTTGTAGCACAAGGTTGGCATTGAAAAACAATGATGACGTTCTATTTTGAAATTTTGAGTGTTTTGAATTGGATTTTGAGTGTTAAATTGGATTTTGTCTTTGAGATGTTCTACATATTTGGGGATTGTACAACTCTTTATCAAATGATAATATTCCCTTCTTAGATGGCTGGTCTATTTTTTTTAAGGCATAAATGCTTCTAAAGAGCATTTTGGCCATTATCAAAATTTAATAGTAAACTTGTAACAATTTGAAAGTTTTATTTTTTAGCTAGAAATTGAGATTGTTACCTAGATCAAAATATAACTTGTTTTTTGAAATACTATTTAATATAGAGAGTGTAAAGTGTAATTTATAAAAAATAAGAAGGTAAAGTATTCTCGCATTCAAACTGCAAGATGTTCAAAATAATTTACCTTATTTATTTTTTTATTTGTTATGTTTGCACGAAAAAGTGAATGGGAATAATTATTTTATGTTCTCTCTTTGGTATAAAACTTTCAATTTTTTTTTGTTTTTATTATTTTTATTATTTTTACAAGAAACCGAAAATCGTTGCTTTCAAAGAATATAAAGAACTATAAAAAAAGAAATTTAAATCCAATTAATATCCATCACATATGGAATTGCTTTTTTTGGCTAAATAACATATAATTTCTTCTTTTTTTTCAAAAAAAAAAAACACACACACACAATGAGAGTAGAGGAATCCTTATTTTCATAGAGTATAAACAATCATAATAATAATAAAAAAATTAAATAGGAAAATTTAAACGTATTCAATGTCCATGGAAAATTTAAATCAAATTAATATGCATTACATATAACAATGGAAACAAAATTGCTTGCTAACCAGGTTAGCCTCTACGAGTACGTAAGAAGATTCTTTTTTATATATATTCGGGAATAAAATGTAGAAAACAAGAAAAAAGGGAACTTAGTTAAAGGAAAATTTTAAAATATTTTTACATTAGTTACTTCATAAATCTATTTTTAAATAGAAAGATGAATATAAAATAAAAAAAAATTACATTCAAACCTATTAAAAGTCAAAAACTGTTTTCAACTCAGACTCAGATTTTATTTTATTTAATTTTTTTTATCTTATTATTATTATTATTATTATTATTATTATTATAGAATAAATGTTGATAACTACTTCGTAAGTAATATAAAATTTCTTGTTGTGAAGATGGTGATCTGAATGAGCCATAACAGCAATAGTAGGCCTTGAAAGAACTGACCCATCTCTCTATTTATCTTGTTCGAAAATAAAACCACCAAAAGGCTCTCATTTTGAAAATTGAAATTAGCAGAAAACTAGAAAGCAGAAGCAGCATCGATATGGAAAGTCTTTTTTAGTTCAAAAAGAAATCAGAGAGATCGATGAACTCGAAAGAGACTTGCCGGAGCGAGCTTCGCATTGCCATTCGCCAACTCAGCGATCGCTGCCTTTACTCTGCTTCCAAATGGTACCCTACTTTCTCCACTCTAAAACCCTAAAAAGAAAAAGAAAAAACGCATTTCCATTTTTCCTTGAAGATATCATCATTCTCTAAAGATTTTTAATTCTCTCTCTCAACTTTTTCTTGGAACCACCCCATTTTATTTTTATGTTTTTCTTTCCGATTAGTTGTAATTTGGTTTTGATGTTCCTTTATGTATGAACCTCTGTCTGTTTTTAGGGCAGGGGAGCAGCTGGTAGGAATCGAGCAAGACCCGGCAAAGTTTACTCCTACAAATACCAGATTCCAGCGTGGAAGCTCTAGCATTCGTAGAAGATTCCGAACCAATGACATTACCTCTACGCCTGTTACTGGCATGTCTTATGTGTCCACTCCCGTATTGGAGGAAGATGAGGTCATAGATGGTGACTTCTACCTTTTGGCTAAGTCCTACTTCGATTGTCGAGAGTATAAAAGGGCTGCTCACGCCCTTCGCGATCAAAATGGAAAGAAATCGGTCTTCTTGCGTTGTTATGCTCTTTATCTGGTGCGTTCATTTTTCATTTATGCATTTTTTTATTCTTCTTTTTATGTGCATGTTCATTTTGTTTCGATGATGATAGAGACATGGTGTTTGGGAACTAAGTTCTGCTTTTGATTCTTTTTCACCAGTTTTTTTGTGAATTAGTTTGGGTTAGATTGGCTATAGAATATAACTTGCTAAGGGTGTAAGGCTCTGCATTTTGTTGTCTGTTCTCTTTCATCGAATGCTGCGGAATGGATCAGGTTGATAGAATTATGCTAGACCTTAATTAACATAGAATTATTGTGTTTAGAAAGTCTTGAGTGTTTTTGGTGGATAGATGTAAAGGATAGTGATGTGATGTTTTCATTTCTGACTGCTTTAGAGGATCTATTGAAATTAAGTATTGGACTTGGTGTTGAAAGCAGCCCAGCTGTTGAGGGAAAACAAGATGTAGACTTGTATGAAGTCTTTGATTCTTTGTACTGTAGGTTTTTAGCTGGTTTCTCTGTAAAGTTTTCTTGCTTTGATTCTGAAACAAGATTTTATGTCTCTGTTTTTTCTTTTCTTTTTGGAATATTCTAATTGTTCATTTTAGAAATATTAAACAAGTGAACTGATGCAGAAATGTGATGAAATTCTATCATGACCATCCCTATTTCACATCCTCTCTATTTTAGAAGGACAAATAAGAAAGTCAGATGTGGATGGCTCTGAATCGATTTTAACCCTTTTATGTGTCAGAGGTTGCAAGTAGCTGTGAACACCTCTTACGAGGGTGCTTCAGACTTCTTTTTAGGTTTGGATTTACATCAACGGTCCATCAACTTTTTAAAAGTGTTCTTGCGCATTTGTTGGGAATTTATCCAGTACTCTGATTCACATGAAATCAAGCCATTGTCTAGTATGATTGATCTTGTACAGTTTTATAAAATTGAAGGGGTTTTGTCTTCTGTTTTTCACCTTCATTGTTGGTTTTGAAGGCTGGAGAAAAAAGGAAAGAAGAAGAGATGATAGAACTTGAGGGGCCCCTAGGTAAAAGTGATGCTGTGAACTGTGAGCTGGTTTCTCTGGAAAGAGAGTTGTCAACTCTCCGCAAGAATGGCACAATTGATCCCTTTGGGTTATACTTATATGGCCTTGTGCTTAAAAACAGAGGCAATCAAAATCTTGCTCGGACAGTTCTTGTGGAGTCTGTGAATAGTTACCCTTGGAATTGGAATGCCTGGTCAGAGCTGCAGTCCTTATGCACCACAATCGAGATGTTGAACAGCCTTAACCTAAGTAACCATTGGATGAAGGACTTCTTTCTTGCCAGTGCTTACCAAGAACTCCGGATGCACAATGAATCCCTTGCAAAATATGAATATCTACAAGGAATGTTCAGCTTTAGTAATTACATACAGGCTCAGATTGCCAAAGCTCAATATTGTTTGAGGGAATTTGATCAAGTTGAGGTAATATTTGAAGAACTTTTGAGAAATGACCCCTATCGAGTCGAAGACATGGACATGTATTCCAATGTCCTCTATGCAAAGGAGTGTTTCTCTGCTCTTAGTTATCTTGCCCACAGGGTGTTTATGACTGATAAATACAGACCTGAATCTTGCTGCATCATTGGAAATTATTACAGTTTAAAGGGCCAGCATGAGAAGTCTGTTATGTATTTTAGGAGGGCACTCAAGTTGGACAAAAACTATTTGTCGGCTTGGACACTTATGGGCCATGAGTATGTTGAAATGAAAAACACTCCAGCTGCTGTTGATGCTTATCGACGCGCTGTGGATATCAATTCTTGTGATTATCGTGCTTGGTATGGGTTAGGACAAGCTTATGAGATGATGGGGATGCCATTCTATGCACTGCACTATTTTAAGAAGTCTGTGTTCTTGCAGCCAAGTGATTCTCGATTGTGGATTGCCATGGCTCAGTGCTATGAAACTGATCAGCTTCACTTGCTTGAGGATGCAATCAAGTGTTACAGAAGGGCTGCGAATTGTAATGACAAGGAAGCAATAGCCCTGCATCAGTTAGCAAAACTGCACTGCGAGCTTGGCCGTCCAGAAGAGGCAGCATTTTACTACAAAAAGGACTTGGAGAGGATGGAAGCTGAAGAGAGGGAAGGACCAAACATGGTTGAAGCTCTGCTGTTTCTTGCTCAGCACTGCAGAACTCATAAGAGATTAGAAGAAGCAGAAGTGTATTGTACCCGTCTTCTGGATTATACTGGCCCAGTACGTTCTCCAATACCTTTTCTTTTAAAAGCTCAATTAAGAGATCTAGTTATGTCAGAAATACAAACATATGTGAACCCAGTTAATTTCATTTTGGTCTCTCTATTCATGGTTACAGGAGAAGGAAATGGCAAAGAATATGCTTCGTGGAATGAGATCAGAATCTAGTTATCCTTCAATGGATGTTGAGCATTTTCCTCCCTGACTCTCTGCCACTTGACAGAGTTCTTGAAAGACCCAGTGCTGCATATCTCCCTTTCCTCAGTTTCCTGCTTATTAGGTCAACATATGTGGAATTGTTGGAATAAATCAAATTATCTCAACTAGGATAATCTTGGAGGTTATTGTTGGATAGACCATTGATTTACTTTTCTCCTTGCTGAGAATAGGAAATTTCAGCCTGCAAATGGCACTGTGACGTTTGTAGTCCGAGCCATTGGAGGTGAGGTCCCTTTTGACGCTTGACGTCTTACTGTATTCTTGGGTCATACTTTTGATGTTGTACTGTAAACAAACGTTAGTTGGATGAAATTTTCTAGGTTTTTTTATTTTTTGGTTACCTAGGAAAGGTTCAAACTGGAAAGTTCTTGGAAAAAAGGACATTAATGTTGCTTGAGCTGCAGCTGTTTGACAAATTTTTTAGGTTTTTTTGAAATTTAAAGCGCTGGGAAGCATCGACTAACTAGCAGCGCAATAAAAGCACGAAATTCCCATCCATTGCCTGCAAGCAATGGATCCTCCAGGTGCCGGCAATAGACATGTATCACCCACACAAGCGAAGGAAGTGCTTCTCGATTATCACTTGGCCAATGTTTACGAAGAGCAAGCGCAAGGGGGTTTGAGAAGAATAGGGAACTGGTCAAAGGTCATAGCATTATAGGCTTGCGTGATGCGAACCATGGATTTTTACAAAGCACAAGCATTTCTCAGCTCAAATGGAAGATTCTCTTTGTAGATATATGGGTCATAGTTTTAAATAGCGATAGTTGAAAAAATAATTATCCCTATATATATAATAGTTTATTATAATAGTAAAATAATAGTTGTGATAATTAATGTTGTAAATACATTAATAATTATTAATGAATTTATTTTAGTTCATATATTTTTAGTAGTTTTATTAATTAAGCATATTAATAAGTAATAACTTTTCTAATAGTTTAATATCATACAACAACAATTTAATAAGTAATTAACTTAAATATCACTAGAAATTTAGAATTTTATAGAGGCTTAATACAAATATTTACAATATTAAATTGTACAAAATAAAAGTATTAAAAAAAATGCACTACCGATAAAATTAATAATCAATTCTTTAAAAATTAACAAAAAAATTGATAAAATAAGTTTGAGTTGAAAATTATCTCTATGAATTCTCTACTTTCGAAACAAATATTAAATTTTTTTTTAATATGTATTTTAGTAAGAAAATGTAAAGTTTAAAACGAATTGAAACTTGAGAGATTTAACTTTTGAGTGTTAAATGTAGATCACTAGTGATTTTATGAAGGCATGAAAGAAGTTGAAAATAACATGATATTTTAAGTTGATAAATGATGCATTTTTTTCCCTGAACATTTGATTGCATGCAATCAAATTCAAACGCTGCCTGTTAAGCCTTTGAATTAGGTGAGGAGCTAAATTATACATTAGTTCATCTGGTTTTGATAAATGAATTAATTAATCTTTAATATTTTACAAATTAATTATTTAATCTTTTGATTAGTGCTGATTATATTTAATAGAATCTATTTTATTCTATAAAACACTTTTTCTTCAGTTTCTCCATGATACAATTTTATTTTTTATTTTAAAAAAAGAAAATAGCATAAAACAAACAAAAATAACTAAATAATAAGTTTTTGAAAAAAAAAAAAAAAAGACTTACTAATTTATTTTTTCAAAACAAAAGAAGTAATTTATAATTTATTCAATTAAGCCTGCAATTGTAAGTCTTTGATTCTTATTCTTTGAATCAGACATGAGTTGAGTTAGAACGCTAGTCTTTGATTCTTACTCTTTGAATAAAGTCTGAATCACACATGAGTTGAGTTAGGACGCTTTCTTCACGTAGGTCTAGGAGTCTGAGTCTTAACTTCTCTAGCTGAATTTTAACAGCTAAAATGACTTTTTTTTTTTTAAATGTATAACATCATTATATAACGACAAATAACCACACTAAGTAACAATAACATCATTATTTCCTATTATACTTATAAAATAACATCGAGACACTCATAACACCAAAGAATAATAACAGAAGCATCCTAAAACTGTTATATAAGAACCGTCATATAAAGTCACGATTGTTTTAAAAAACTATGATATGAGTTGAATATCAATATATACATCAGAATGTCTAATATGAGATTGACAGTACATATAACATTATAGTAAAAAAGAACAATTTTTTTTGACAAAAAGGAGAAACAATTGAAAAAAAGAACATTTTTTTTGTAAATCACCCTTGATCCTAAGCAATGAACGATTGGGCTTTGCAATTTGGACCAACACTCTATCCCATGTTGGGTAACATAAACCACTTTCGTGGAATGGAATGCCATCAATCTTACATGGAACAACATAGACAAAAGTTTATTGCTGAGTAAGAGAGAAAAAAAAAATAATAATAATAATAAACAAAAACCAAAAACTAGTCCGAACAATCCCAGGAAATTATAACTATTCCATACAGAGATGACATTTATTTGTATCCAAATTTCCACCAGGACTCCTAAAACAAAAAGTTTCCACCAGAATTTACTACATTTAACATTACGCATTTCTTTCGGGTCCATGAAGAAACTGTTGATGGATGGCATAACTTTCTTTAGGTGGCGCTGTTGCGAACTAATTTCCTTCAAACAAGCTCATGGTAACTTTCTCCCTCTGCTTTTGTGCTTGCATCAACCCTGCTGGAAGACTGTTTTAAGAAATAAAAACTAAATGAATATTGCTTTAACCAGAAAAAATTGCCTCCCAAAACTGCTATGACTGAATTCATTGACCATTTCAAAGCGTAATTCAAGGAAGATAAGAAAATTCCTTTCTGAATCCGGTTTTTTGTAGAATCAAATAAGCAAAAAAAAAAAAAAAAAACAGAAATCTACTGGAACCCAACTCCATCTTAGTATTTCCTTTCCTTAAAGGAAAGGCAGGTAAGTCTTTCTAGCATTGATTGATTTGAAACCAAGTTAGACCACTGCATCGTAACACCCCACAGACGCTAACATAGTTGCATCAACATAAAAGTGCCCTTTTTAAGCCACAATATACAGGCATTGGAAATATAATGACATGATCTAGCCACATAAATCCAGTTAAATTCACAAGAACATTATATCCTCAGCCCCATCACCTTTGCAATTTTTATCACCCAAAATGAACCCCTAGCTTGTCTGCCACTTTTAACTGAATCTGGTTTCTAAAGCATTACCCCTTCCACAATGACAAATTGATTCATCATTTAACATCAAAGATCAACCATTGAAAAATAAAAAAGATGATTCAAATGCGCAGAAAAATTACCCATAGCATTGCATTCTTGCATATAGATGTACATCGACCAACAGACATGAAGGGGAGGGACAGACCCGACCCAGTCGTTGAGGTATACATTGCCAACCAACTGCACACCACAGATTCCTGCAACAACTTCTTGTCTTCAACAGTTGGGAACGGGATGATACACATATCTGCAGAACGTGTCAGCTGGATCGACCTATACACAAACAAATATTTTTTAGACGTCACATATAGTGCTGCAATATCTCTTACCGCATTGCCAAGGAAAGGAAAACTTGAAACTGCAATCAATACTGAAGATAGCCCTTCCCCCTTCTCTTTCGTTAATGTAGGAGTGAAACCCGGCAAGATCCGACTTGAAACTTGAAAGCGAGTGAATAGCAGGCTTGTGTCCTTTAATCCAGAATGGCCTGCTTGGTCTTCAGTGAGCGAAGTCACTTCCTCAAGAGAGTTCTTTGAGCCGGGTTCTTCCCTTGCCCTTGACAAAAGCACAAGTTGTAACGAGTCTTTCAACTCATGAGATGCTTTCTAATATACGCTATTTTGAGTTTAGTGAAGGGCTTTGGTTGGGTCGTTCTACTATGTGGAGTATATATTCACCAATCTCCCATTAGGGTTCTAAATCAAACACTCTTTTGTTTCACATGAATTCCCTTTGTGTAAATTCTAATGGCACTTCTCAAGCACTTATCATTACAGGTTCTTAATAAACAAAAATTCTTATGTATGCATCCCAAACATTGCCTGTTCTTTGTCATTCTAGGGTAAAGTTACGTTGAGTTGTATATTAACTTGGCATGTTGCAATTCAATATGGAGTAAATTTGGTTTATGAGCAGGAAGTTAAACTTGAATAACACCACAAGAAACTTGAATAACTTCACAGCTCCCATACGAGAAATTTCACGTTCAAGATTATTTACACAGCTTCCATCTCCCTTTCTATTTAGCTGCATGACATAATCCACTCCCTGGCTTTGAATTTGGAGATAGGATCAAATAATACAAGGTCAAATTGGACATTAAGAATTGTATTTAAAGAATGCAGGTCTAGAAAACAACCAAATTGATGTATAGAAAAAGAAAACATTAGACAGCTTAAAGGGTTTACCTGATGCAATAACTTTTCGTAATTATTGCATGGGATTTTCGGAGAGAGGCCGAGCCAGGCACCACGAGTGCAGGAAATAGGATCAGAGAATAGGAAAGTAACAGAGCTTGGCTGACTTCTTTGGGACAATTGTTAATATGTGGAATTATCTTTCTTTCATATATTCTAATGATATATATACAAAATATAAGGACCTATATATAGTAAATAGATCACACATATAACCGTGTGTATATTTCTAAGTTAAGAAGAAACTATACAAGAAATATATAAAATAGAAAATAGGAAAGAATACAGCTCATTCCCACTAACTCTCCCCTTGAAGTTGGGGCGTAAATATCACACATGCCCAACTTGGATAGCGACTAGTGACGAGCACGAGTTATGATGTTAGCCAATTGATCCGAACTTCGGTATAAGGAATCTCTATTGTGTCGGAATCGAGATTATCTTTCATATGGTTCCTATCGAGTTCAACATGCTTAGTTCAATTGTGTTGTACTTGGATTATTAGCAATCTCAATCGCTGTTTTGTTATCACAAAACAATACCATAGGCTTCTTTGGACCAAACTCGAGTTCTTCTAAGAGAATTTTCAACCAAGAAAGTTAAGTGATTGCATGATGCATAACATGATATTTAGCTTCGCACTAGATAATAAAACAACATTCTATTTTTTACTTTTTCAACTCACCATGTTGCCTCCAACAAACAATAAATATTCAAAAGTATATTTTCTATCCATTCCGCTACCGATAAACTCGAGTCCGTATAGCTCACAATATCAAAATATCCATGTTTGGAGAATAAAACACCTTTACCCGGAGCTAATTTTAAATAAGCTAGAATTCGATTCACGGCGTTCATGTATTGATCACTTGGATTGTGCATAAACCGACTCACAACGTTGATTGCATATGCTAAATTAGGCCTTATGTGAGGTAAATAGATCAGCTTTCCCATTATCCTTTGATATCTTTCCCGGTTTGTTGGAATTTGATCAAGATAAATAGACAAGTCATGATTTATCTCAATAGGAGTACCTATAGGTTCGAGTTACTAGTTTTAGCTAGGAGACCTAGAGTATATTTTTCTTTGGGAAAGAAATAGGCCTTGCTTATATTGAGAGACTTCAATGCCTAGGAAGTATTTGAGAAGCCCTAAATCCTTTATTTTGAATTCTTTGATTAAATGGCTTCGAAGTTTCTCAATCTTATATCCGTTATTACCTGTTACAATCATATCATCAACATAAATAAGAAGCAAGATAATATCATTATGATAATGTTTATAGAACAAGGTATGATTTGTCAAAGCTTGCTTAAATCCATACTCCTTCATTGCATGACTCAATCTCCCAAACCATGCCCTTGGTGATTGCTTTAATCCATATAATGCCTTTTTTAGTTTGCACATCTTTTCTTCTTCTAGTGTAAATCTTAGGGGTGGATCCATTAATACTTCCTCCGTCGGATCATCTTGAAAGCAAGCATTCTTCACATCAAACCGTCGTAGAGGCCAATCCAAATTAACTGTAAGTGATAGTATGATGCAAACAATATTCATCTTGGCAACTATTGCAAAAGTCTCCCGATGGTATTCTAATACGATAGGTTTAGGTATAGCCTTTTGCAACCAACCCACCCTTGTATCTCTCTACCATTCCATCGGGTTTTATTTGGTAATGTATAGCCATTTGCACCCTACGGTCTTCTTTCCCATAAGTAATTTGACCATTTCCCAAGTATAATTTTTTTGAAGAGCTATCATTTCTTCTACTATTGCATCCTTCCACTTAGGAATTTTAAGGGCTTTTAAAAAATGACCAGGAATAGGTATAAAAGATAAGCTGAAGGGCAAATGTTAAGTTAGTTTTAGACAAACGGTGATAAGATATAAAGTCGGAGATTGGGTAAACAACATTGGAGGTTTTTAAAAAATCGAATCTATTAGTTGCTTTTCTTTCATGAAGAGGGTATCTCCTATTCGATCAATATTAGAATTGAGATTGGAATTTCTAGGAGATTCGAAAGAATAGGTACATACCTCGGTTTTAGTCCTAGAAGATTTGTCCGATGGCATGGTAGTATCATCAAGAGAGGTACTAGAATTAAGAGTTAGAACATTGATATCTTCCTTTCCCTTAGAATATCTCTTCTCAAAGAAACGTGTTGGTCTCTCATCATCCGGTTCAATTTTATTTTCCTTAGCAGATAGATCATCTAAAACTAAGGATTTCTTATTTTCCTTAATGTTATTTGTACTCGAGGTCCATATCCGTTTTTCTCCTAACCATAGTTGTTTCTCTTCTTTACTACCAATCTCCCCTAAAGAGGAAGCATAGATATATAGTTAGAAAAAATAGGACTTATTTTCACGGTGAACATCCATCGACACATAATAGGTTCCTACGGGAGGATGAAAACATTTTTATCCATTTTGTGAATTAGAATAGCCAAGGAAAATGCATTTGATAGCATGGGGATCAAGTTTATTTCTATGAAGAGAATGATAATGAATATAGCATACACAATAAAAAATCTTAGGACAAATATTAAGAGCGAGATGGAATAGGATGAAATCTAGATAACATTCTTAAAGGAGTTTGAAAATCAAGCATTCTAGCAGGCATTCAATTGATAAGAAAGACATCATCCATGATAACTTCAGCCCAAAAACATTTTGGAAAATGCACGATAAAACATAAGGCTCGAGCCACTTCAAGGAGATGGCGATTCTTACGTTCTGCTATGCCATTTTGTTGGGGTGTGTAAATGTAAGTTGTCCGGAAAAGAATGCCATGTTGTGTCATGAACTTAGCGAGAAATTGATTCACAAACTCACGACCATTGTCAAAATAAAAAATTTTAATTTTAGTGTTAAATTAGGTGAGAATCATATTGCAAAACTTAGGAATAATGTGAAAAACATCACTCTTAAATTTCATCAAATATATCCAATCGAACCTAATATAGTAATCAATAAAAGAGATAAAATATTTATGTCCTAAAGCAAAAGGAGTGAAAGGACCCCACACATTAGTATGAACGCATGAAAAGGAATAGAGATTTTATTAAAGATGACTTTAAATGGAACATGATAGTTTTTAGCATAAATGCATTGCTCCCATTTTCAACTAGAAATAGAAATTTTGAAAAATAATTGAGGAAATAATCATTCTAAATAAGAGAAAGATGGATGTTCCAACCTACAATACCAAAGCATAATTCTCTCTTTATCGGACTTCTCTTTGTTTGGAAGCCATAAGTAGGTGTTGATATGCCTCGATTATCCTCTAAATAATATAGACCATTCTTCTTCTTACCATTGCCAATCGTCATCTTCGTAAGATTGTCTTGAAACACACAATGAGTAGAGTGAAAAATGACAAAGCAATTGAGATTCATTATCATCTTGTTAATGGAAAGAAGGTCGTTTAAAAGCCTAGGTGCAAGTAGAATAGAGGACATAAAAAATGTGGGAGAAAGACACATTTTCAGCCCCTATGATTGGCATGGAGTTCCCATTAGCAACTTGTATAGATTAACCGATGGAGATGTTAGAGAATCAAGGATAAAAGAGTTACTTGTCATATGATCGAGTGGCCCCAGAATCAATAATCCAAGTGTTAGGACAAATAGAAACAATGGATAAACTAAAATTACCTAATTGGGAAGATGTCCGAGATACATGAGAAGTAGAAGATGGAGTAGTATCTATGACGAGTAGCATTTTAAGTAGAAATGTTGTTTTCCCTCTCGACTTGCTTGAGTTTATACCATTTCGGATAGCCATGCTTCTTCTAGCAAATATCAATTGTATGTTTACTCTTATGACAATGGGTATAAACTCGACATTGAGAAGCTATAAAAGTGCTCTTTCGGATAGTTAGTGCTGAAGCTTCAAAATGGATTTCCACCCCCATGCTTGTCGTTGAATTTCTCGACGAACCAAGGAGTAGGCTTCTTCTAATCTTGGTAGAGGAGAAGTAGCTAGAACACGACTACTAACTTGATTAATATTATGATCAAGGCCGGTAAGAAAGATATAGACCTTGTCTTCTACCTTATGTTTGCTTGTATTTTTCAATATCAACGAGCATAGGTCATATCATTTGGCTTCGATAATCAATCTCCATAAAAATTGAGTCTAATTCATTGTAATATTCCGCTAGAGGCTAGTCACCTTGACGTGATTCGGAAGACTTCTTTATGAGTTCATAAACTTGAGAAGAATCGGATACATCAAGATAACTTCTTTTTACAACATCCCAAACTCTTTTTTTTGTGCCACACTCGTACAAAGTGTGACATTAGATTATTACTCATTGAATTAATGAGCCAAGATTTGACAAGTGCATATTCGACCTCCCATTCATCATAGCTTGGATCATCTTTTCGTTGGTGTAGCCTTTTTTCCATTGATATAACCCTTCTTTTTCCTTCCAGCGAATATGCATCTCTAGGATTTTAGACCGGACTCGATAGTTAGCACCATCCAATTTAATATGGATGGATGGATGAAGGAGCATTGTGATTGGTTATGGTGGAGGTTTTCCTGCTCGTTAGTTTTTACAACCTCAAGTTTGGTAGACATACTGTGGTATGACTAGTGTTTTAGGGAAGAAAGGAGCAACAATGGCTAGGGCTTCTAAAGAAGAAGAAAGGAGCGACTACGACTAGGGTTTTGAAAAAATTATACGACAAGGCTCGATACCATGTTGTTAATATGTGAAATTATCTTTCTTTCATATATTCTAATGATATATAAACAAGATATAAGGTCCTATATATGATAAATAGATCACACATATAGTTGTGTGTACATTCCTAATTTAAGAGGAAACTATATAAGAAATAGAATAGGAAATAAAAAAGAATATAGCTCATTCCCGTTAATTGGGACCACGGTTTCGAAGGTGTTTTGAGGATGTTGTTGACTATGTTTGGGGTCCTTCAACAAGTGGGAGAGTGGAAGGCTTTGGTCTAAAAGTTTGTGAATTTGATAATGTTAGGATTATGGTGGCTAGAGTGGTGGCTTTTGGTGAGGTTTTGATTAATGGAGATGAAGTGATTAGCAGTTGTTAGTTCTTCGGGTGAGCATTTTTTAGTTTGTTGGGCTTCGGTGAGCAACTTTTTTGTTGATGAACTGACACAAAAGTTGCAGAATTGGGATTTTTTGTGGCACGCATTTTGCAAAACTGGGAAGCAAAACTTACAGCACTTTTTGGAACCACTATTAAATAGAAATTTCATTTGTCCCAACTATGAGGAATCGTATATAATTGACGTCGATGGTGAAGAGCCCACCGGTTTTGTTGTGCAATTGACTCCTTCAGTTATAATAAAGGCAGGAATTTTCAGTCTCATTGTGTCTGTGGAAAAGAAGCTGGATGGTGTTGCAAACCAATTTCCGTAGAACATGCTCAGAACACCCCTCCCTCTTGAATGTCATCCAAAACAGCAGAAGCATTACTCTACTTGGTCACCTTATTTTACGAGATCAAAAACAAAACAAACATGGCATCGACCAGAAATATTACCTCCAAAACTGCTGCATTCCAATTCATTGAACACTTTATTCGGAGAGTAAATCAAACAAGACAAGAAAATTCTTTTTCCAAATCCAACCTTTTTAAAAATCAAATAAGAAGCTGAAACAAAAAAACATCGGAAACCAACTCTTTCTAAATGTTTTCTATCATTAAATGATATAAATTGAAGACATGAAATCAAAACTTTTACTGGATCAATAAATTGGTGTGAAAGAATCATAAGACAATATCAATCTCTCCATAGCAGCTAATGCCTGTCAAGCACACAAGGAAAATTAACAAGAGGTCCTCAACCTCTCTTTTTTACCTGGTGATTGAATCCAAGTTACAATGTATTCTAACATCCCATGGAAGCTAGAATACTTAAAGTCAACATGACGTTTCTCTTTAAGTCAAAATATACAAATATAGGAAAAAAAAAAGACAGCATCATCCAGCCACATGAATCCAAGAAAATTCTCATCAGGATCATCATGAACTAACCTTGTATAGAAACCACCATTTGTTATCTGTCATCCACAACGAATTTAATGCCCAGCCTGTCCAGCACTTTAATAGAATATGGTTTCTAAAACACTGTCTGATGCCAAAATAATGAATTAATCCATCAATTACAATCGAAGGTCAATGACTGAATTCTTTTGAAAGAAAAAAAGGTGGCTGGCCTCAAAATCTTCCAATAGCTATGCATGCTTGCATATGCATATACCCAAAAGACATACTAGCCAAAGGATAGACGGGGAAGGGAGAGACCTGATCTTCAGGTTGACGGCTCAACACAGATGTTACCAATCAGCTGTCTTCTACAGATCCCCACAGAAACTTCAGTAGAAGTGAACAGAGGATACACCTATATCCATACATGTATCAATAAGATCAAACCATACACAAACAAATTTACTAGAACAAAATCAAAATCAATCAAGAAACAGAATGAATCAATTTGGCTAACCATAAAAGAGAACACATCCTTATAGAACATAACACAAAAAATAGCAGACCTTCTTATCTCAATAGAAGAAATATCACATTCAAGATTACGTACTACAGCTTCCATTGTCCTCTGTAGTTCACTGCATGACACCATCCACTCCCCGACATTCAATTTGGAGATGGGATCAAATAATGCACTATCAAATTGAGCATATTATCTTTGTCCATTGGGAGAAACACATACACACAAACCATCCTTCTCTGTTTTCACAAATACTCTTTCAGTTTTCTTCATCTCAAATGGCACCAAACAAATAATAATTAATTTACAATTTTTGAAGGCGACAACTTCAAGTCCAGTAATTTATTAGCCAATTAAAAGTCTGATGAGCTTCACAACTTTATTTGACGGGTAAGATGGCTGCATCTACTCTGCAATCTCAGTATCTCTTTCGCAAAACCTTGATGACCTGTTAACAATAGCCCATTCAAAACCCGATTGAAAGTAAATTTTCGAGGAACAAATCCTCTATCAACCATCTCAATCAACAACTTCCCAGCCACCAGTAAATCATCTGATTTTTTCCTCACGAACATTGAACTTATCAATATATTGTATGTATCCAAATTTGGCAAGCAATCCCCACTAGTCATCTTCTGAAACAAGTGCAACGCGTTGTCAATCTCTCCTTCATCACAAAAGTACCGAATCAAAAGATTGTATGTTTGAACATTCGGATCACAACCATCATCCTTCATTCTTCCCATAAATTCCATTGCCCGCTCCATTTCACCTCTATGACACAACCCTCTAATAACCAAATTATAAGTTATTGAATTTGGCACATAACCCTTTGTCACCATCTCCTCAAAAACGACTATAGCATTCTCCACACTGTCTTTCTTACACAAAACCTGAATGAAAGCATTATAAGTAGCAACTGAAGGAAGCACTCCTTCCTTCACCATCTGATCAAAAACCTTACGAGCCCTCTTAATCTCACCAGCAACACCAAACCCATGAATTACAGTAGTATAAGTAACAACATCAATCTCACAATCTCTCTTCTTCATTTCCAAAAAGAAATTCCAAGCTTCATTAATCTGACCAGCTCTAAAATAGCCTTTAAGCATTATATTATAACTAGTCAAATTTGGAGTCAATCCTCTCTCAACCATCTCTTTTAACATCTCCAATGCTTTATTAGTCCTTTTAATCAAACACCAACCATTCACCATCACATTATAAGTAATACAATCAGCCCTAAACCTTCCCTTAAAAACCTTAAACATGTTATAAGCCATCTCGACGCGTTTCGACTTACATAACACATCGAGAATTGTATTAAAAGAATGCAAGTCTTGAAAACAACCAAATTGATGCATAGACAAGAAAACTTTAACAGCTCTATGGGGTTTACCCGCTGAGGCATACCTTTCAGCAATGATTGCAAAGGTTTTAGGAGAAGGGCCAAGGCGCACGGAGCGCATGCGAGAAACGAGGGACCAGAGAGAAGGGAAGTCGTGGAGGCGGGCAGAAATGTCAATGGCGTGGTCGAAGGAGGAGAGGTGGTGCGAGTATGAAGGATGGTGGGAAAGGAGATTGAAGAATTGGAGGGCTTTGGGGCCATCGTTCCAAAGGCGTTTGAGGATTGTGTTGACTAATTGTGGGGTCCAGTGGATGGAGGGAGAGTGAAGGGTTTGGGCTAATGCTTGTGGGTTTGATGAGGTAACGATGAGGGTGGCTAGACTGGTGGCTTCTGGTGGTTGTTGGGGTGGTGGGGCGGTGGTGGTGGTGAAGTGGGGGGTTTTGGTGCACAGAGATGGAGTAATTGGGAGTGGTTAACCCTTTGAGTGAGCACTTTTTGAGTTTGCATGTTTCAGTGTTTGTTACTTTCAGCCCAGTGAGCAATTTATGCATTCTACTTTATTAGCTGCCAACACAGCATTTTTGGAACAGAACTTAACAGAAATATAAATTTTATTTGGTCCAAAAAGATTATGACAATCTTGGCGTTAACATTTTTTAACGTTATTTGTGAAATTTGAAATAATATTTACGAGAATCATAGTAATATTAGGTTTTTGTTATAACTGAAGTTCAATCAGTAATTAAAACACTAAAATTTTATCTAAAAATTTACTTATTTTTCATTGGTTTAATAGCATAACAGGCTCTATTGTTGACATTTTCTTAATATAACCTCTCTATTTTTTTCTTATTCATCATCTTCTTATACTCTTTAATTTTTCTTAATGTTATCCTTTTTACCGAAATCGATGATTATTCTAGTTGGTGATGACGAGATAATAAAAAATTACCATGTGGTGTGACATATCGGATAAAAATTACTACGTAGTCCAAAATTTTTACATTCAAAATCTGAAAAAAAAAAAAAAAATCAAAGTATAAAAACCTTTTGATTTTTCTCTCTATTTTTCTCACACAATTGCTTTCAATTTTACTGTTCAACATTGATTCCCAAATTCAAAAGCAATCGAACCCAAAGCCCAAAGATCTTTGATTATTCAATAGTTCGAATCTCTAATTTACTTCAATTTATGAAAATCCTCAATTTGAAACCCTTACTCTTTTCATTTTTCCATCATTGTTCTCATCAATTTTTCTCTTTATTTTCTTCGAATACATCTATTTATGGGTTAAAATCCTAAATTTTCTATAACGAAAAACTCATAATTTGTGAGAACCCAAAAAAAACATCAAATTGCTTTATTTATTTCCTAAAAACCCTAAAACTCCCAAATTGGTTTTTTTTTTTTTTTTTTTACATTTTGTTAAAACCCTAAATTACATATATTAGATATTGAGTATGATACAATCCTCTACTCTCACTAATGAAATTGATGATTACATATTACAATTGATTTTTGTAGCTTCACCCCAAACTCCCGAATTGAACTACAAAGAGCCTACAATGATATGTCATTGCGGGTTGAAGATTGCAAGATGGATGTCATGGAGTGACAAGCATCCAAGTTCGAGGTCCCATCCATGTCCTTATATGTTTTGCCCACAACGAATATAAAAATTTTAGTTATGGTTATTAGTGTGGAAGGATGATTTTATAGAAGGTAGAGCTAGGATGATTGTTTTGGAAATGAGAAATGGAAAAGACAGATTTATAAAGAGAAAAATTTATTGCTGAAAGAAAATAATGAATTGATTGTAAAGGTTCGAAGGTTGAAAAATGAGTTAGATTCTTATTTCGTGGAAAAGGAAACGTTCGTTGGTCGAGATAGCAACACAAGAGGTAGAGAAAGACTATTACGATTGAGTTATAGAGAGATTTTTTTTTCATTTTTTTAAAACCCTAAATTACATTTGTTAGAAATTAAGGATGATACAATCCTCTACTCTCACTAATGAAATTGATGATTACATATTACAATTGATTTTTGTAGCTTCACCCCAAAATCCCGAATTGAACTACAAAGAGCTTACAATGATATGTCACTACGGGTTGAAGACCGCAAGATGGATGTCATGGAGTGACAAGCATCCAAGTTCGAGGTTCCATCCATGTCTTATACATTTTTCCCACAATGGTAATAAAAAATTTTGGTTGTGGTTATTGGGTGTGGAAGGATGATTTTATAAAAGGCAGAGTTAGGATGATTGTTTTAAAAATGGGAAATAGAAAAGACATATCTATAGAGAGAAAAATTTATTACTAAAAGAAAATAATGAATTGATTGTGAAGGTTCAAAGGTTGAAGAATAATTTAGATTCTCTTTTGATGGAAAAGGAAACATTGTCTGCTTGAGATAGCAACACAAGAGGTAGAGAAAGAACACATGAATTTGAGAACGAAAAAATTAAGTGAATACAATGTTGAGTTGTTGAATTTTTATAAAATAACGAGTGGTTTTAATTTTAATTATATTGTTTATTTATAAATTTTAATGAAGTAGATTGTTTATGAAGTAGATTGTTTATAAAGTATATTGAAGTAGATTATTTGTGAAGTTTATTGAAGTAGGTTGTCTATAAATTCTATTGAAGTGGTTTTAATTTTGATTTTGTTGGTTTTAAATATATTATTTGGATCTTTATTTATTTGAAGGTGGCATTATCTCGTCCTGTATTGCATCTTATCTTATCGGAATCATTGTGAGCCATTCTTATCAAGAAAGGCCATCGAGATGATGATAATGGTGGTGTTATGAAAGGTGTAGAAAAAGAAAGAACTAGAAGTAATGAACAATCGGATGCAAGGGTATTTTCATTTACTAAAGAATATATTTTGAAGTCTTCTTTTGTCATCCAAACATTCGTTTTTGTTGGACTCAAGTTGACTTTTATATCTTAATAATCTTTTGGTCATAATATTTTTTTATCCGTCATCGTTTATATGTTTTATGTGTTAATAGACGTGTAATTACATTGAATTTTTGATGAATGTATTGTATTATGAGTGTATAATATTTAAGATGCATTAACAATAAATTTACTCCAAAAATCAGCTATTGACATATGCATGTGTACCTACATATAGAAAGAGTGAGGAGGTTTTTTCATGTTAATTTATGGTAGCTTATCGTTGTCCTATAATAATGTGGGATTCTGTAATTCCATCATAACAAAGTATCCAGAGTTAAAGTTGCATGCAAATATAGATAACCCAAAATACAAGAAGGATGAATTTACTTATCATTGAAAATTTTTGCCATGGCATTCTTGCAAGTGGTAAACAAAGAGGCGCCGAAGGTGATAAAGTAAATAAAATACAAATACTAATGTATAATGATAGTAGAGGAACTAAAGGTCTCTTTTTAACCTTAGTTAGGCTTCAAGCAAACACGGAGGCAAAGATATTTGTTTCACAAGCTATTGTATTTATGAGTTAATGGCAAAGGAAAACTAGTATGGAAATCTTTATGTTTATATGGTTTGAGGGTTAGTATTCCTATCGAATATATGTTTGGTTGTTTGTAGTTTATGTAATTATGTACATGTTTCTCACTCTAGTTTTGAGTTTATAAACCAAGGTTAGTAGGTTATCGAGTATGTGTTTGGTAATTTATAATTTATGTAATTATAGATATGTTTTCGCTTTGGTTTCTTATTTATAAACCAAGGTTTGTAACAAAATAACCTTATTACTTGTGTGGATAAATTTTTTCCATTATTTGCATTGTTTGTCATTGCGAGTCAATTTTGATTCGATCGAGGTAATGAATACTTAAACACTAAAATTTTAGATCACCTAAAAGAGAATGAGATTCTCTATGTACGTCACATGTAAGACATGGTATAGTCCACGATGAGTCAAATTAATATCCCTATTTTATTTTGGGATGAACACTCCTTACCGCAACCTTTACGGTGAATAAGGTTACAATTAAATTTATTTAAATAGACCTTATATGAGATATGGAAAGAAAAGAAAATGGGTTTATCTTTCCTTAAGATTTGAAACTCGTAAAATATATATCAAAAGGTTTGATAAAGACAAACTAAAGCCCAAACAAGAGAAAGTGCTAATTTATGAAATATCTAAAAAAACAAAAAAAGGATGTCATTGTCCTACCACTAAAATAAAATGTTGTTTACGATTAGGTATGTTATGTTCATTGGGAAGAAATTTATGGATGCTAGAAATAATGGGAGGAAATTTGAACTCAATAAGATTTAAGTAAACTCGTAAATTGACATTTTACCAATAGAACCCAAGTAAAAAGGTCACAAAGTGCTAGAACTATCCTACAAATATAAACATAAGAACTTCATAAGTTTAAAGAAAATTTGTCAAAAGACAAAAGGATATGATCTTGTTGTCTCAACACATAGTGATGTGAGCCCTAAAAGGGATGACGAAGCTAACACTTATGAAATGACAATATTAGACATTGACTCCTAGAAAAGGCAAACGAAAAGAGTGTGTAAATGACACACCCCGATTGTTCTCAAAAACATGGAAATAAGATTTACAAAATGCAAAAGGTCCATTTATAGACTTGAGCATACCACTAGGAATTAGAGTCGATGTTTTAATGAAACAATCAAATAAGTTTGATTATTCACCAAAAACGAAGAAGAATCTTATGTATATAAAGGTTAGTAGAGCCTACTAGTCATAGTTATTCAATATAAAAGTTAAAAAAACTACTCCTCAATTATAAAATTATCGTGTTGCAAAATATAAAAGATTAAGATATCCAAAAGCAAGTTCTCAAGTATGACATGGGAAAGCAACCCGCAACATAAGAGTGTAAATCTATAGAGATAGATCACTTGGAATGTAAGGTAGATACAACGACATGATACTAAAAGGTTTAGTATGGAAGAATAAACAAAAGATTTATTCCAATATCATATAGCTTGATGGCCGAAAATAAAGGATCTATCGCACAAGCTAATGAACCAAGGTCTCATCAATGGTCTAAGCTTATACTCGCATCGCTATCACTTGATTATAGAGATAAAACGAGTAGTGGCGACATAAGAATAGAAGAGGTCCTCACTAACG